GAGCCTGCGCCCGGCTCGTCCCGGGAGTGTCGGCTGTGCCGGCTTGGCGCCAGGGCCTCCCCGCGCCGGCCTGGCACCTGCTGCGGTGGGGGCCTGCTTCCCCAGGGCCTTGCGGCGAGGGGCAGAGCTCCGGGGCCTGGGAGCCCAGCCCTGCCATGCCTGCCCTGCCCCAGTCAAGGCCAGACCTGCTGTAAAGGCTGCCTTAACGCTTGGTGTTCTTGCCTGTGCTCATCTTGTTCTGATCTATTTAATTATTTTCTTATCCTTTAAATAACAATGCTGGCATTGCTCAGTGCTGTATGTCCCTCCCCAGATGTCATCTAATTGATATTCTGCAAGAGTAAAAAACTGCCCCTGCCTTAAAAGCGAGATGTTTTTCTCTACTGTGCGAGGTCAGTCAGGAGTCTGGGAGATGACGTGCCCTTGGTGTGCCAGACATATGTAAAAGCACATCTTTAAATCTGTTTCTTATGAGAGAGAGGCCTGAATTCGACCAGCATCCCGTTGTGTATTGACAGTGTCCACTACCAGAAATTTATTTTCATAATGCAGTATTTGAGAATCCATAAGATTTACCAATAAAACATTATACATTTTATTTTTGATTAAAAGCTAGTCTCTTATTTCCAGTCCTGAGTTCAAAATTATGGCTTTCTCCACTAGTTTTTGGGGACACGCAAAACTGTACTAGAGAATAGCTTTGTAGCAATCCCCTCCTCCCTTCAGATGCACGCGTTTTTGCCAGAGGTGAAAGCTTTTCAGTTCATGATCAAAATGAATCCTTTTTTGTTCATAACTTATAAACCTAAAGTAATTTTTTTTTGCTGGATTGGGTTCCTGAGCCAAAATCATGCAAGTCTTGATAATTTTTCAAATGTTTCAAGAGCTGTTTGGTCATTGATCATACTGACTCTGATTGTTTCTGCCACCTGGATGAATCTGTTTAGCAGTCAGAATATTGTTAAATATTATTGTTATTATTATTTGTATGCAAACCACTGTGCTATGCAAGCCTGCATGTTCCTTGTACTGAACATAAGAGATGAAATTGCACTCAGTATTGCTGTTAAGAATAATAGAAAGCCCAGTGAGCTTCCTGTCAAAAAAAAAAAAAAAATGAGGCATATATGTACTGATAATTAGCTTAGGAAATAGCATAAGGGTGTGCTGAAAACAGGCATAAGTCACACTTTCAGGAGTTTTGCCTCTTTTTGTTTATGGTCAAATTGGGTGCAAACTTGTAATCTGTCCATTGTCTCATTTAAAAGGACTATAAAACATTTTCTTTTTGGACATTAATCAAAGTTAATCAGACCTAAAATTAAAGTTAATGGGACGTATGTTTAGCCCAGATGCTGGGGCTGCATGGGTAACTGTACTGACGTTCAATGCATCAGTCTAACCTTGGTGGACCAAATTCCACCTTTTTTAGACTAGTCTGTATGTACTGGACTTCTATACTGTTACAGGTTTAGATTGATTTCCAGTCACTGAGACTGGGTCTAAGTGTAAGATCCACACCTGGGCAAACTGAATTGGATTGGGTGCTCATTTTTAACGCAATTTAAATTGGATCAGCTCCTCCTCCTGCCCCTGCTGTGCTGCTCTGGGCAGCAGGTAGCACATGGAAGCGGTGGGGGACGTGTGCCAGGGGGAGATCTGCAGCTGGGCAGCTCCCACCCCAGCATGTTGGGCTCCAGCTTCCAACCCCCTTCCACCCATTCCGCCTGTCCAGCATAATGAGCAGCCACCCATGGGTGGCCAACTAGATGGAAGGTGGCGAGGAGCTGGAGCCAGAGCACCGCATGATGTGGCAGGAGCCTCCTGGCGCAAAGTGGGTATGGGCAGGACTGCGACATGGGCTGCCCTGGGTGGGAGTGGCAGGGCTTGGCCCCACGCAGAACACCACAGGGGCAGCCATGGGCTGGGCAGAGGGGGGAAGCGGACCATACCTGCGTTGGCACCATACTCCCCATGTGGGCTCTGCTCCATGCTCCTCCTGCCTTCCCCCACCTCCGGCTGGATCCCAGGACCCAGCACACAGGCAGCTCCCCACAGACACGCACATTCTTCCCCCATACCCATATACACACCCTATTCCCCCAAACACAATATATAAGAGTATGGCTTTATTTTGAGATATTATGCAATCAACTGTATATACAGTATTCAAAAAAACATAAATCAAGGCAATTATTTTTAAATTAAAATATGTTATAGTAGATGTTTGATTTTTATATATGATTTTTTAATCTATAATTTGTTAAAATGATATCTTGCAAAAGATTTTGTGTACTCACTAAAATTTGTTAAATGGCCTGCCAGTCAAAATAATTGCCCGTGCCTGTCATAGTATTACGATAACGTTCCTAATAAATCAAGTCTTATTACAGTGTTATGGCTATTTTATACATTTAGGTTCTTGCTCTTGAAAATACATGTGCAAAATTAAGCTTGTGAGTAATCACAAAAAGTTAAAACCAGTAAGGCTGCTGCTGTTGAAAGTTAAGTTATGCCCATGAGCTTACAGGACCAGGTCTTAGGAGCATTCATATAAAGTCATATAAAGATTTTGTGTAAGCTGTTAGTTTTTGGCCGAACTTCTTTAACTCAATTGCCTGCCCTTAGATTATTTTTTTTAAATAGGAAGTGTTGCAAAAATGGTTTGGTTATTTTTGAAAACAAGAAAAGGAAAAAGTGTGTTGTTCTTCACATGTATACAAAGGAGGCTTTTTTTTCTCTTGGGGGGATCATTTATTGTTCTTTTTGTTTGTCTCGTGGGTCTGTGCTTTGGAGCTGGGACGTGAAATTTAGCAGTCAATTGCTGTGGTTATCAACCTTTTGCTGCTCTTGTGAATTACAGAACATAAGTCTTTGGTCAATTTATCATTGAGCAGATAAAATTGATTGACTTTAGCAACTAGATTGTCCACAATCAAAACTAGAATGATAATAGCATAATGTAATTAAATCAGACTTTTCAAAATTCTTGTTGTCATAGAGCTTGAAGGTCTCCGATCTCTGCCTTAATGAGCAGATCAGTGATTCCCAGCCTTTTTGCTGAGTGGGCTGGATTGGCAGTGCCTGGTCTGGATCCAGCCAGTGTTCCTGACCTGGTGACTGGGCGGGCACAGTGGCACAGTCTGGCCACACAGAGGGGGGCGGGGGGTCTGCCTGGGAGCCAGCCACAGGAGAGGAGAGGGAGGTGGGGTGGCACATGCAGCAGAGCTTACCTGGTCTGCAGTTGCCCCTGCAGCACTCAGCATGGGGCTGAGCCTCACCTGGGGCAGCTGGTGCCATGTTCCTGCTCACACCTGCTAGCCGTGCCTTGGGCCCTGCTGTGCCGGGGCCCGGGT